GCGATACTCCAACATAGGGGACTTCAGTCTAGGATCAAACACTGCCGCAATGGCAAGGATATCACTGTACTCACTCCAATATTTACCAAACTTCTCTTGCATACCAATCACCATGTCACGGATTACTTCATCATAGTGGTCTTCATGGATTTTTAACCACATTTCAATCTGCCATACTTGCATGAAGTATAAATTCGCCGTTGGATAAGATGATCCAGAGATCAAATTCGTCATCTCTGCAAATGGGGTCAAGAACTCATGAATTAACTCAGCTCTCTCCCATTCTGTAGTGGATGGACAACTTTGATAACTTGCATCTACTTCAGAAAGATGCCGGAATGCTTCTTTGTAAATGATGGCTCTCTCTAACATTAGATGTGTAGAATTCCATCTTGTAGATACATCTAATAACAGCCCTGCTTTAGATTCAACTCCCACAGTATCAACATACGTTTGGAATGCTTGCTCTCTAGACTCACTCACTGTCACATACTTCACACTCTCACGGATTTTCTCCAAAGCTTCATCAATTACTTCAAGCCCCTTTTGCACAATCAAATTCAAAATATGAGCATTGCATCTTATATGCATGAATTCTCCATTGCATACCAAATGTTTTTTAAGCTGTCTCTTGAGGATTCCTTGCATGTTGTCATTGGAAGACGCATTGTCTACCGTAATGGTAAACAATCTCTTCTCTATCCCCCACTCTTTTAACAGTGCTAACACCTTTGTAGCTATACCGGCTCCTGTGTGTGGAGGAGGGAAGGCACAGAAAGATAAGATCTTTGCCTTCAAGTTCCAGCTGCTATCTATGTAATGCGCTGTCAAATACATGTACCCTTCAATGGTAAGGGATCTCCAAAGATCAGTTGTCAAACACAATCTACCAGGAACCTCATCTAATTTCTTGCTAAGTTTCAGCTTCTCTTTCTCATAGATCTTCAGACAATCCGCAGCTGCGGTGTTTCTACTCCAAACTCTATGCTAGAATTAGCATATTGAAATGCCTCTCTAATCCGTTGATACTCAACAAATGAGAAAGGCAAATCATGCTCAATTATTGCTAAACCTATCATTTCCCTAAACACCATCATATCTAGCTTTCTATTTCCAGTAGGTGTACTTCCAGGAGTCTGTGAACAGCCTCATGTGATGCAAGAGAGTATTTGTACCACTTCTACGCAGGTCTAAGCTATAGGTGTGGTTGCAATAGTTGCATCTCACATCACTTATAATCACACCATTTTTCTTACTAGATCCAATGATTCTAAAGGTTTTCCAGCACTGTGAACGCTTACGCCTACGTTTACCTTTCACCAAGTTCTCAGCTGTACTAGCAAGTGAATCTACTTCCTCTTGTTGTTCATTCTGATTCTCTTCATCCATATCCATCTCATCCCAGTCATATAGTCATCGTCTAGGTTAGAGTTTCTTCATTACCCATCTGAAAAAAGATCAAAAGCCATCAGACATCAGTCACAGAACAAGAATAGCTTTCAGTTTTACATCAGACACTTCAAACAGTAGACTATCACAGTCTGTAAACATCACAGAAACTATCAAAAACATACAAACCCAAAAACATAGAATATCACAGGAACAATAGAGATTTTGTCATTCTATTTCACAGTTTCTGACATATACACTCAAACAAGCAGTAAACAAGCAGAAAGTTTTACATTAGACACTTCAATCAAATGGGTCTTTTCTCAAAATCTCAAAAACTCAAAAGGGTAGATTGATTCTCTCTCAAAACGAGTAAATGGGTCTCTCTGTTGAAAACCCTAAAACGCAAATGCTCAAATCAAAACCCCTAAAACGCAAATGCTCAAATCGAAAACCCTAAATCGTAAATGCTCAAATCGAAAACCTTGTTCTGAAATCTGACCTGAATCGAAAGAAGTGGCTGAGATTGATGCGATGAAGCCATGGAGACAAGCGTCAAGCTCTGTTGCGAAGAAATCGCCGGAGAAATCGCCGGAGAAGCTCTGATTTTCGATTTTAGAAAGTTTTGAGTCTTTTGACGATTTTTCATTTTTTCCCCCAAATCATTTGACCTAACATTTTTTGTCTATTGGGCCGCCCAATTCCATTAGAGTCCAGTCCAATAAAGCCCATATCCATTATAGTCCAGTCCATTACTGGCCATGTCAAAGTGGGCTTGTCCATGACCGGTCCATTAGGTGTTGGACACGGACAGCCCATGGGCGGCCCGCCCATTTTGACAGCTATACCAAAAACGTGATATCATAACTCATTTATGTCATTAAATATTATATTTAATATTATATGATGATAATAATTATTAATTAATCTCTATACTATTAAAAGAGAAGTACAAATGAAAATGGGTCGGGTTAAAATCAGAAAATTGACCCGAAATTCTGAAATCGGATCTTTG